TTGAGCAATGTAAACCAACATTTGCACACCTAGTGAAAGCTGTAGTAAACCTTGAAAAGTAAATGCTTTTGCATTGTCCACATCTGTTGATGCTACTTGAGTGACAGACCCTGAATGGTCTCAGGTGGAGGGAGGGGACTTTGGCTTTTACTGCCAGAGATGGGAGTGAGGTTTGAATGCATGAATGGATTAGTAACTAGTATAGAAAGACCTTTTGTTTTTTAGACTGCAGCCTTCTTAATTGACAGTAGGATTGACCGTAGAGTTGAGCCACTGGCTGTGTTTAGTTCACTTACTGTATACTGGATATTTTTATCCCCCCTGTCATGCCAGCATAGACAACCATGTTTGCAGAACTGAATGGATTCTCTGTTCCATTTTAAGAGTGCTTCTGAGTCAGCAGCATCCCAGTTTAACTTTCCTAGCTCATGAAGACAAATCTGAACTGAAACCTTGAACTCCTAGTGCCCCCAGAATGAATCCTTCAAACCAGCAAATTTATGCATAACCTGAGTGCATGAGGTCTTCGGGAGTACAGGGTACACTACAGCTACACAGGTTTTAGTATTCTGTGTAAGGTATACTGAACATAGCACCAGCTCACTCTAGTGGTCAGATGATGACAACAAACTTAGCTAATTGATCTGCAAACAAAATAAAAATCCTAAACAGTCATTTCTCTCTCTTTTCAGTCTTCTCTCCTACAAAAGAAGCTGGAGGAGCACCTGTAAGTGATTCAATTCAGTTTGAGGGACAGGGTTGGAAAGGGCTAAAGCTCACTTGGTTTTCTTTGTTGCATTTGATGAATGCATATCTGGGGTTGTTATGGGTCCAGCTGTGCTACTTAGCAACATATTGATGCTGTCACACAATACACAGCAGGGCTTTGGTTCCACGCCCTTCAGGTTTCTGGTCCTTATTCTTCAAGACACCTGCATGCCTAGCTTCTGTTTCTCTTTCTGTTTCCTGGTCAGAGAGAAATTGCATGAGGCCCATGCAGAGCTTCAGAAGAAGAAGGAATGCCTTGATGAATTGGAGCCAAAAGTGGACAGCAACAGTAAGTGGGTGGATGACAGATCCATTGCTTTAGGAGTCTCAACTAAGCCCAACCTTTGCTGGGTACCAGAATGGGCTGGGCTGGGCTGGGCTACCCAGAAATCAGAAGACCTTGTAGAGCATTGAGTGAAGATTCTTGCTACTCCATTTGTCCCCTGTCCACATTTCGGGGTCAGGACAGCATTGATGTCTCCACCTTCCTCAACAGCTGCCAAGAAGATTGATGAACTGCAGCAGTCTTTGAAGAAGAAAGATGAAGATATGAGAGCCATGGAGGAACGATACAAGCGTTATATGGACAAAGCCTGCACAGTAAGTCAAGTCTTTCCAGTGCCTTTTGCCACTGCACAGGCATACATTGGCGAAGCCTCACTAAATGGCTTTGTAGATCATACACACTTTCCTGCGGTCAATGTGATTCAGTCAGCAATGTTGCTTCAGGGCCTTTCTAGTAGCTAAATGGTCTTGGCCTCCCAAAGCTAAGTGATTATGGAAGATCTCTCTTTATCCTTTCACAGGTCATCAAGAAACTGGATCCCAAGCAGCAGCCTCATGGAGTCCCACTGGAGATCCAGGCTTTGAAAAACCAGCTGCAGGAAAAGGATAAGAAAATAAACCACCTGGAGGTGAGCTCCTCTTCCTCTTCCGAGAATGAGGGTTGCAGCTTCTCTTACATAAGAGCCTGCCTGATTAGGCCAAAGGCCCCTCTAGTTAAACAATGGAATTTGCTCCCTTGAGAGGCAGTAATGGCCACCAAACATTGATGGCTTTAAATGAGGACTAGGCTATCAGTGGTTACTAACCATGATGGCTATGTATTACTTCCATTGTTGGAAGGAATGTGCTTCTGAATACCAGTTGCTGGAAACTGCAGGAAGGGACACTGATGTTGTGCTCTGGTCCTGCTCACAGCTTCCCAAGGGCATCTGGTGGGCCACTGGCCTGATCCAGCAGGGCAATACTTATTATAACAAGTTTCCAAAATTAACAAGGATGTGTGCACTGCAGCCCTCTTACCCATAAGCTACAGGTGTCTTGGGTATAATGCATTAATTCCTTATCTTCCCAAAGTCAATATAAATTATTTCAGATGAGTGGTTTGCCATGCGTTGTCTGTTTCGACCACCCTGTTAGCAGCTCAGGTAGTTTCTTTCTGTTGTCCTTACCTTGCTTTCACTTGGGATCAAATTGGTAGACTGAGGTCCTGCACATCTATAAAAGGAAAAGGTACACTTCTCATCTCCCCTCTGTTTTGGTTGGCCTTGGCAGCATAAGCTTGGGTTTTTCCACAATCCCCCCAACACACACACACACACACACACACAGCCTTGGGGTTTAGCAGCATGACCACTTACCTCCTTTTTCCTCTCTGTGCTTCATCTCATTAGTCGGATTTTGAGAAGACAAAATCTCAACAGGAACAAGAAGAGAAACTCATCATCACTGCTTGGTATAACATGGTGAGTTTGAATTGGACTAGGCATAAATAGAGGTGCATGTACTGATGCAGGGGTGTGAGAGAAGGTTGGCACATTGCTTTGCAGGAGAACAGTATGCATAACTGCTGTAGAGCTTAACATCCTGAGAATCTCTTACTTTTTCTAGCTGTTTTGGTACCAGACATGTTTTGCACCTGCCAAACACTGCTGAGTAAAATGTCTGAAATTGGGCTCTTTACAGTAGATCATTTTGATGATCCTGTATATGTCTGGATCACAGAACATGGCCTTTTTGAATTCAGACCTTTGTGTCTTCTGACCCTTACTGTCCTGGTCAGAGCCCTATGGAGGAAGAACAGTGAAGAACCCTCCATCTCCATCCAAGAGTCTGCTGGCACAAGCCAAGTGTTTCTTTTCTTTCCCACTCCAGGGCCTGGCGCTGCACCAGCGGGCTACAGAGGAGCGGTCATCCACCTCTACACCAGTCCAGTCCTTCTTGGCCCAGCAAAGATTGGCCACCAATACTCGGCGGGGCCACCTGAGCCGAGCTCAACCCTTGCTGCTTCGATACGTTGGTACAGACAAACCTCAGTTGTCCTGATCTGGAAAAGCTGTCCTGTGGATCTTCTAGAGAATGCTCACTTCCCGGGGGGAGTGAAATCGGAATACCTGTTATGCAGTGGTACTTCCTCTGGAAACCCCCGTTTTATCCCTATTAATGAAATTCATTCTCTGATACTAAAGATTATTCCTATGCCCAACTGTACTGCTTGTTTTTTTAAAAAATGAGGAATCTTGAGCAGCAAGGAGCTGGATCTTCCCTATTCATTGCAGACCTACATGTTCCCTCTTCCACCGCAGTTGGGAGCTGTTGCATGGCAGTACCCTGGGTGATGGAGAGGTATCCTTCAACCATGTTCCTTACCCACCTTTCCTCTAAAAAATCTGCTTTTGTACATAGTTTCTGTATAGCCCTGTTCCCCACCAATTAAAAATGTTCTTTACCTAATGATGTCATCCTCAGAGGGTATGGAGGGAATATTTTTACTGCCATTCACATCTCCCGTTATGGTATCGGCCTCAGTCTTGGTATTTTTTGTGGTGATGAATGCATAAGGATGAGATGGCTGTTTTGATAGCGGCCCTGCATTTGGAGTTTGACTCCTTTAAAAAGCTAGCATCGGTTCCTCAGGAGCCAGATTGCATTGCCTGAGGCACATTATGGCACAGCTTTTCTTAGTGACTTAAAAATCCCTTCTAAGAAGGGGCAGGGCCTTGGTACAAAAAAGCCCCATTTGAAAACGTATGAACACTAAATTGACTTTAGACCCTAGGGGTGAAGAGAGCCTGCAGTCCTGCCCAACAGTAGTTTGTGTGCACATCTGTAACTGTGTTGTCTTCACGGCAATATTTAGTGCCTGGTGTTTTTTTTGAAAAGTGCTACTCTTTTTCTCCCCTCCCTGTTAGTATCATATTCAGAGACATTGCAAGATGCAGTATCCTTTTAAAAATATGTTCTCCAAATTTTGATTCTTTTTTTTAAAGTAAAGTTCATAGTTTTAATGCTGTAAATTATACATTTTGTAAAGTTATCTTGTATCTCTGCCTCTTTATTTTTCTATTGGACAGAAGCCTGACATGCAATGTGGGAGGATGGGATGTGTCTATAGAATCTTTACACTACAAATAAAATGTTATAAAATCTTTTCTGTATCCTCATTCCTCTAGTAGCAACAACTATTACTGTTGGGCAATAGCCTTCCTCTGGGAGGACCAGCTGTAGCTGTTAGTAGTTCTTTGCAATACCTTTGTGATGGGCCAGCTGTAGTTCAGGCTTCCCATTAATTCTGAGATGGGATTTTCCTCTCTTGGGAGTTTAGTAGACCCATCAACTGCAGTTCCCTATTGGGCCTTGGAAGAACCAGCATGGTCATAGTTGGCTGGGGTTCCCCAATCTAGTCTCCAGAAGCTATTGGAATACAGTTCCTATCTCCTCTTGCCTTGTACAGTTTGTTGGCTGGGTGAGTATTTTGGGTGGAGTGGTGGAACAAAGCATGGCTGAGGAAGGATGCTGGGTTCACATGTAACAGCAAAACATACATATAATCAGCCAGATAGAACATTGGTCTGATCCACGCAAGTTAATTTGTGCCTCTTGGAATTCACTTCTAGACCTATAGAACTAGAGGTTTAAAGGGCAGGCCACAAAACATTACTCTAAACAAAATACCATTTAATAAAATACTATAAAAGCATGAATTTTAAAACATAGTAGATCCACACTGAGGCATTTGGGTAGTAAGCGCAGAAGTGATTACCTCCTTCCATGTTCACCATCTGATGATTACAGAAAGGAATGAGATGCAATAACCAGCTGCAGTTTTGGGTAAATATAGGACAGAATAGTACCTTCAGGAGTAGCTCAGTGTCCATGATTGCCCCTGCACGTTCAGTTAGGGGCTGCAGATGCAAGTCAAGAACACATGGGGGCGGGGGGGACAGAAATAGAGGCCTGATTAACAGAAGCCTCCTGACTCCTTATGAAGTGGCCCCACATTACAATGTCATTAAAAACCAGGTGTCTAGCAGGGGCCACCAATTCAAATTTCCCTTTAGCAGCTGCAAGGACTATCAGTCTTCACTGATTTCCTGTCCTGAGGCCTCAGATTGAACTGTGCCATGGGCCACCCTTCGTAATGGCTCCACTGAACCCTGTGGAGGCTGAAGTAATCGCTTATGCCACATTCTCCTCCTCGATAGGGCTCTGCAGCCAGTGGGGGTAATTGGCTGGTGGAAGACCCTTGCCGGAGGCCTCCTTTGAGCTGTGAAAGAAGGGGGCATCTGAAGAGCCGTGGTCTAGGAGAGGCTGAGACGAGTCGGTATCTGTTGCTGCAGGGACAGACATGTCCACAAGGGGCACTGGATCCTGGGGGTTGGCCACAGCACTGTCATGGCCTAGCGAGGTCTGAGCTGGGCCACTGGGCTCGCCTGCGGGATCCTCAGAGAGGTCCTTGTGTGTCTCTGTGCCCAGGCCAGTGCCATCAGGCCCAAGGTCTCCCTCCCCCTCAGAGCTGAAGTGAATGCTGTTGAAGGGCACAGACTGCCCAGAAGGCCCACAGGTACAGTCCGTGGTCTGTGTATCCTGACAGAGGCAGCTGTAGGTAGTGGATGCTTCAGAAACACAGCTGTTCTTGCGCCTCAGCAGAGACAGCCGACGTCCAAAGCCGCCAGGCGCGGGGGCTGTGGATAGCAGGCGGTTCAAGAGGTGCGCAGGGACATGGCGGCTGTGTTCATAGCCCTCTGCGATGTCCTCTAGGGGCTGGAACTGCATGTCTTCCTTGGCTAGGCTGGAAATCGAGGAGGGGAGTAGTTAAAGGGAGTAGCTTCACCACCGCAAGTTGCAGAAGAGCTTGCTTTGTGGTGCAGAGATCTTCTCTATTGCCCTCAGACACCTCACTAGTGCTCTGGAATGAGAGGGGATATCTATGGCATAGTATAAATGGGGGGCTCCATGTGCACCGGAAGAAGAGCCCTCACCCTACCCCAAATGAGCAGGGAGGAATGGCCAAAAGGAGAAAGCAAGCTCCAGTTTCACGGACTGAAAACTGCTCCCACCGACGGAATCCCTCCTTTTCTCCCCAACCCTCTACCCAACCAGGACCACCGTCATTCCCTTTCCTTGCCACAGAATGAGAAGTTTGGCTTACGTCATATCAAAAGTGGAACCCTGGAACGACGGCTGTTGCAAGAGGAAAACGGTGGCTGCAGTATATGGGGCGCGGGGGTTGGAGGCATCCCAGTACCGATCCTTCTCCAGAAGAGGCAGGTCCCCATACATCTCGTCCACTGCCATCATGGAGACCTGCAAAGGAAGGGAGGACTTCAGGAGTCACCACCAAAGTAAGTGAATACTAGCCTAGGTGTATGCATGCTTGTTGGTTAGTCGTTTAGTCATGTCCGACTCTTCATGACCCCATGGACCAGAGCACACCAGGCACTTCTGTCTTCCACTGCCTCCCACAGTTTTGTCAAACTCATGCTGGTAGCTTCGAGAACACTGTCCAACCATCTCGTCCTCTGTCGTCCCCTTCTCCTTGTGCCCTCAATCTTTCCCAACATCAGGGTCTTTTCCAGGGAGTCTTCTCTTCTCATGAGGTGGCCAAAGTATTGGAGCCTCAGCTTCACGATCTGTCCTTCCAGTGAGCACTCAGAGCTGATTTCCTTAAGAATGGATAGGTTTGATTTTCTTGCAGTCCATGAGACTCTCAAGAGTCTCCTCCAGCACCAGTATGGAAATCTGACATTTAGGGCCTAGTTTTAGATTTCCAACTACAAGGTAATCCTTCACATGATTGGGAGTTCACTGAGGGCAAGGGAATGTTTAACCAATAATAAAAAATATTGTTCCAACATCTGAATCCACGAGGAAGGCAGAATGCCCACGTACTAGGTGTCTAAATGCTGATTTGCTATTCAATTCCTACTGTTAACTACAAAAGCAATAATCGGGTGCTGCTAAGTCGCCCAAGTCTGGAAGCATCCTTGATCTGTTTTACAAGTGTTGCTTTATTCAGCAGAAAAGGGGAGGGCAGAGTTACCTGGAAATTCCTGTCAATCAGCAGGTTGGTTTCAAAGTCATCATCGTCCTCCCCGAAAGGGTTGATGAGCTGCTCAGCCACCTGTAAGATATTTGGAGGCACAGTAAAAAGAGGGGCACACGTGTGCCCAGCCTCCTTATTTGTTGCCATCAATATGGTAACAGACTTGGCAAAGGTGTGCAGTATTAAACTTCTCTTCCTTCCTTCCTTCCTTCCTTCCTTCCAGACACTTGTTAAATCACCCAGCAGCTGATTCATGGACCATCCCTCTACCCCCGATTCATTTCCTAATCTGTAGGAAGGTGTCCCATAATGACTGTCCTTACACATCTTAAACTACCTCCTGTCTGCCATACCTTTAGCCACCCAACATAGAAGAAGAATTGCAGCAGGGTGAAAACAGGGACCCACAGATCCAGGTCATGTCCTTTGTAGCCCTGGCCTGGGTCAAGGAACTGCCGCCCAATCAGACAAGAAACGAAGAAGCTGTACACAGCAATGGTGACCACCTGTCAGAGCAGAGCAAGAAAAAGCAGGTAGAGAGGCTGAAGGGGGGTGAGTTGCAGAATTTCGGAGCCCTGTTTTTTAGCCCTAATTCAGTCTTATGGGCTGTTTACTGAGGACCAAACAATTCATCTGTGATTTAATCCCTAATAATTTATCCTCTGTGCGTGGAATCAGGGATGCTAAGCAGCAGTAATATAAGAGGTTCAACCTTGTCCTAATGTATGTTTGTATTAAATAGGGTAGAGTTTCTAATTTTCAGCAGCTTTTTATTATTGAATAGATAGGAATGAGTTAAGATCCTTCACACCATACTCAGTTGCTAGTGTGACTTAGTACCACTACTTCCCATATAAACATACTGAAGGAGAAGAAACATGTTATTCCTCTTTAATCACCCTAAATGTGACTAGTGTGTGCCAAAGCCAGATAACTGGGGTTTTGGTTTTGTTTTAATGATCCTGAGTACATTCCTTGAAATAGTGATTGTAAGCACACAACTAGAGGCTGCTCTGGATTAATCTAGCATGAGATCCTCAAAATGTGCTTTAGAATAGCCAAACCTCAGCTGTCCTCATATAACATTAGGATCTGTGCGTTGCTGCTCTACATATAAGGCTTGCTCCATGGTGTGATGAATTTTCTGGGGTGGGGCTGGGCTAACCGCTGGGCTAGACATGCCATGTTGGGCTGTGTGAAACTTAGCTGGGATGCAAATTCCCTGATAAATGATGTGCTTGTTCAGTGGCTTCAGTGCTTTTGACTCTATGCATGCCTTTGGGTGAAATAACTACCAACGTTTGGAAGCAGGTGGTTCATCATATGAGCCCAAATGGATGTAGTTGGGCTTGCTGACTGCTTTGGGTCCTTAACTCACCTGAGTGTAGACTAGTGGTACACTGATCCAATCATAGTGGTAGAGCATGCTGCAGTTTCCGCGAAAAAGGTTCAGTTCCTGAAGGAAGAAAACAGCCATCTCTAAGGGCTAAGCACTGAAACTTCTGCCTAACTAGAACTTTTCAGTCCATCTTCCAACCTGGTTTCAGCTCAGAAACAGCTTTGGTTGTCCTGATGGATGATCTATGCTGGGAGAAGAACAGAAGGAATGCGACCCTGCTAATTTCTCCTGGACCTTTGATACCATTGACTATGGTATCCTTCTGAATATGGTATTAGGGTTGGGGACTGGAAATATGATGTCCCAGTGGTTCCACTCCTGCTCGGAAGGCCACTTCCAGAAAGTGATGCTGGGAGACCCCATGGCATTTATGTTGTAAGGTCCCCAAGAATTCCACCTTGTATACCATGCTTTTCACCATCTGTATGAAGCTATTGGGAGAGGTCGTATGAAGATTATGGGTGAGGTGTCATCGATATGCAGATGACACCCAACTCTAGTCTAATTTTCACCTGAGTCACATGAAGCAGTGAAAGTGCTGAACTGGTGTCTTGAATTGGTAATGGGCTGAGCGAAGGCCAATAAACTGAAATTTAGGCTGCAGTCACAAGAGAATTGGTACTGCTCATGAACATGTTTTTCACTAGGTCCACAAGATGTCCACCATCATAAAATGCAAGCCCATCCTTTTTTATTATTATTCAATCTGGATTTTTCCTTCAGGCAATAATAACCAATTATATATCCACAATCACCCCTGGTGAGAAAACTCATTAATTTTTGGGGTGGGGCAGGGCGTAGTTTGTCACATGAGTGATGCTGTTTCAATAGGTGGCCTCTATCACAACAACCATATGCTCCTTAATTGAACACAACCTAGCCTTTTTTTTCCTGGCAGCAGAAATGACATGTGTGTGCTTATTTCCAGTTGCCACATGATGAAGGCATATTCCAAATTCAGCAACGGTAGCTGTTCTTAAGATCTCCACCCAGTACATATGAGGGATTACCTCGGAGACTAATCACAGTACACGTACCAAGCTTCTTTTAAATATATACACACACATATGCAACACCTACTATATCTTGCATAAGTTTTATAAATTCAAGTAAATATTACTCTTGCACAATTGCCTAGTATTAAACATTAGAACAAAATGATTCAATATTGCCACATACACAACGCAAGCCTCCATTTTGACTGTTGCGAAACATGATAGCTAAAACTGGTAATGTTTGCTCTTGAACACTTCTTGGATTTTTTTTCTTTTTTAGGTGACTGAGCTCACCAGTATAGAAATCCATTTGTAAATTTTAATAAAACAATTAGAGGAGCCAGGCTTGACAGGAAGAGTAAGATTTTTATGTAAGCTAACAGGAAGCATGGGTCACAAAAGAAACCTTGCACTAAAGGATCTTGTTCTGGATGTGCTCCTATTATCATCATCAAATTTATAACCCACCCTTGACTCGCACCCTTAACCCTAAAATTAAAAACAGTTAAAGCATGTTATGATCACAGGAATAGGGTGGGCCCTGAAAACACACATCTCAGGTGTCAAAGGTATAAATACAGAATAACTATTACATCTATAGTCTGGGGGACAAGGATTTACCACCTCACCTCCATGAGTAACTTGAGAGCACAGTTATCACGTATGCGGCCTTCTTTGCGTGCCTGTGCAGCTAAGTTGGTAAACCAGACACAGGGGACCCAGTATCTGTTGTAGGAAGTGTTCAGGTTCTCGTATTTCTTGCGCTCCTCACGAGTCATGAACCCTGTTAGATGCAATAGAGGTTATGCAGCCAATGCCATAATACTCTATTTAGAAGGTCCATAGTGCAATCTTATACTGAAGAACTGCACTCTGAAAGGCTATAGGCTTTTGAAGAAGCCTTGAAGAAGGACACAAGATACATAGTAAAACTCACACTAAATGCAATATGCTCTGTTTACAGGCAGTCCTCTTTATATGCTGCATAATCGTGGCATTCCGAAATAACATATTCTAGATTAAAAGTTATGCCTATCATTGCTTTAAAAAAAAACACCTTTAAAATTTCCCAATTTCATTCTAACAAATGGGCAAGGGCAGGGGGACACCTACCTCTTGCAGGCTTTCCCACAGTCCTCTCATCCTTATAAGCTTTATAAGCTTAGTGCAGAGGCTTTCAACTTTTTTTAGGTCCACAGCTCCCTTGACCAACTACATTCTTTCTGCGGCTCCCCTGTGGGGCTCAGGAGACCAGTTATGTCACCCCTTGCCTCCAGAGCTGGCAGCCTCTCATCCTTTTTGGAACACCTTCTCTTGTGGAGTGTTCCCTCAGCCTCCCTCAAGCCTTTGGTAGGCAGAAATGCAAGAGGGCACCAGAAGAGGGAGGGAAGGAAAGAGGGAGGGAGGCCAGTGTTACCCACAGCACCCTTGACCATCATTCAAGGCACCCCAGGGTGCCACGGCACACTGGTTGAAAACCACTGGCTTAGTGGGAAGGAAGGTCTCCCTTCTGCACTCACCTGCCTCCACCACATGGTCTATGGTGGGGAAACGCTTGAACACAGCGATGCTGACTGAGCGAAGAATCAAGACGGCAGAAAGGCTGCAGTACCGCATGAGAGTTCGCCGGTAAAGGCGCCCCTTCTCGTCAGTGCCGTGCACGTTCCCAGAGATGGCACACATCAGGCGGTCTGGCATAGGCATGCAGGTGTACTGACTCCACCAGCGGTTCACCACCAGTGTCACATAGAACCCTAAATGAACCCAGGAGATGGGGAGGGATTGCATTAGAATTCTAACCCCTGACATGCTGCTAAGTCAGGCAGCCTCACTCTGAGATAAAACAGGAATGCTTCACTTGAACCAGGATTGAGGACGCCCCCTGCCCACACATTATGAAAGACAGAGCTCGGTTCTGGTAACATTAAACAGTAAATGCAAGAGAAACTGGCCACAGAACATTGCAGTATGGAATGCCTCTGTTCAGCTTTCCAGTCCCTCCATTCTATTCTCCCCACTGATTTTCTTATATCCCCACCCAAAAAAATACCCCACAACAGGCAGACAGCATTCCATGCCCACTGTTTTTAGATCCCCCTCAGCATTCAATACCCACTGGGCATGCTCAGTCTTCACTGGGCCATTTTGGGATGTCCCCTCCTCTGAGGTTTCCATTCTATACTTCTGCATGCCTGCTTGATACCTCCCCTTTTCTGTGTATGGGTGGTGCCATTTTGGCTACATATAAGGACTACTGCTCAGAGAAGGGAGTTTGCTTGCTGCCAATACACATGACATTACTCTGAGCACGTGCAGAGTTCCTTTCTCTCATTGCCAATATGTTCAGGATCAAGGACATGGAGTGTACTGGGCAGCTCTTCCTGGCTTCCAGAGAGCTCTGAGCTCCACCAGGCCTAATTGTGGAAGTTAGCTGCTGAGTATAACATGCACAAATCATCCATACTGTACCCAGTTTCCAGATGAAGTAATTAAAGTCCATAATACCCTATTATCACCATACTCTTGCTTTGATAGACTGGGGGGGGGGAGGGAATCCTATCACACCCAAGTCTAAACCAGAAGCATTTCTAATGCTTAAAAGATGAGCCTGTATTGTAGTCTGACACCCTTGGAGTACGCAAAGGGCAAGCAGTAAATTGGATTAGGCATGGATGAAGGTTGTGCCCTGGAAGCCAGCGTTGGGATGGGCACATGGATAAGGAAAGAGCATGTGCTCCTTTAGGAAAGGAGCTGGCGTTCAAGCATCTCACCCAGGACAAAGGAGACAGGGATGAGATTGGCATAGTTGTCACAGTAAATCACCACCTTTTCGAAGTCCCTTTTCTGAGTCTCACTTAAGACGAAGCTAGAGGTGGGAATAAGAATGAGAGAAGGATTAAGAAGGATGCATATTTCCCAAGGGGGTTGGCAGCACGTTTGCTGAGAGTCACCTGCTTGCACTCTTGTAAGGGGAGGATCTAAATGCATTCTGAAGGGCAAGTGAGGGCTGTTTTAAAAAACGTTATGATTGGACAGGACATAAATCCTGCAGGCAACTTTATACATCAGAGCAGCCTTCGCCAACCTAGTTGTCTCCAAAACATTTGGAGTCTGCAACTTCCATCAGCTCCAGCTGGTCTCAGACATATGGGGACAACCGGGTTGGCGAAGACTGCACTCGAGTGCTAGAATCACACAACTGCTGGGAGCTGAGGACTTCTGTATCATACATAATAAATGCAAAGAGCTAGGCTGACTCACATAAAGGGGTGGTTGTATTTCACACACACACACACACACACACACATATATATATATATACACACACACGTCTGCTATAAGTGAGTGGTGTGTTTGATAAGGTCAAAAACTGCGAGCTGAATTGATGCCACTCCAGATCTGCTGCTCACAGGAGGTCCTCCCTAGTCGTCAGCAGGATAGCAAAGTGCCCAAAACTAAGCAAGGGTTTCAAAAGTAGCAAAATCAGTCACCCTGATCTGGGGTTGAGAAGCGGAGAAGTGCAATTTGAACTTGGAGAGGAGGAAGCGTGCAGCCAGCAGAACCCAGAAAGAGTGGGTTCTACAGCATAATTACAGTTGTGAAAGGGGGTGAGGCTGGGCAATGCAATATTTATATATGTCCTGCCCATCCCACTCCAGTGTGTTAAGTTTCAACTATGGCTGGTTAGACCAAGTTTGTTACAAGGGCTGTGCAAAATTAAAAAAAACCCCACCAAAACAGGTTGCCAATCAAAATGCCAAACACTGTCCTCCATCCCGCCAAATAAAGGCATGCTCCTGAACAAACAATTCTTATATCAGGTTTCTAATTTTAAGACACCACTAAGGGAAAACTATGCCTTCTCTTGGGAAATTAGTGTATTTCTAGAGAGTGGATCCAAGTGGTGACTATTTGAAGAGCCCTGAATTTTGGTGGCGCGAGTTTGACACACCAAAGGTCATTTAGGGTAGATATGAGACTGTTCTTCCATGTTCTGACTTACCGATATGTAACACTAAGTCCCAGGTACGAAAGAGAGAAGACCAAGAACTCCTTGTAGAGCAACTTGTAGATGCTTCCACGCCAGAGGGTCAGTAGTTTGTAGAAGCCACCGAAGCGAGCGTTGGCCACACGGGCTGTGTAGGTGACAGTCATGGTGCAGCCAGGCAGAGAGACACAGTGGGTCTGCAGTGTGGGGAGGAGAAGAATCAGAGTTTCAATCATTTCAAATATCTACATCAGCAGCACCATCTCTGGCTGTGAACACACCATATATTTAAAGCAATACCCCCCCCCCAATAATCCTGGGAACCGTAGTTTGATAAGGGTGCGAGGAATTGTAGCTCTGTGGGTGATAAGCTACAGTTCCCAGGATTCTTGGGGGGATGTCATGTGCTTTAAATGCAGTGTACATATGTAGCCTCACAGCTTGCCTTGTAGAAAGCTTATGGGTGCTTCAACAACCCCAGGAGTGAGAGCATGCATGAACTCCCTCTTCATCCAGCACTCCTTCCCACAGATAAGGGGGTCATCAATCTTGTATGTTCTTCACAAATGGTAGTGGTGCAGTTAGGTAATCTTAGACTTTGGACTTAATGTTCTTGTGTGTGTGCATGGGGCTTTTAGATGATAATGTGTACTACTTGATTTACTTCAAAACGTGGTAAAGTGGACGTGCTGCACTAGGGCAGGGGGAGCTCCCCTTCATTCTGCTGCGTGAAGCTCTAGACATCCACCTCAAAGTGCTGCCTTGACAGCACTACTGACAAAAGGGAACTCTTGTCTCCTGTGGATTCTCTCTCTCTCTCTCTCTCTCTCTCTCTCTGTGTGTGTGCGCGCGCGCGTAGAAAGCTTCTATTCCATGGTTGGGTGACAGTGGTAGGGGCCAGGTGCAGCATCCAAATTTGCAAAAAAACCCATACTGCATGTAGCATACCTAGCCTCTAAACCAGGCATAGGCAAACTCGGCCCTCCAGATGTTTTGTAACTACAACTCCCACCACCCCTGACCACTGGTCCTGTTAGCTAGGGATGATGGGAGTTGTAGTCCCAAAACATCTGGAGGGCCAAGTTTGCCTATGCCTGCTATCAACTGACTCTCAAACATTTTGTATTATTCCAGCCCTCCTGCACAACAGTGTAAGTACTGGAATGACCTCCGTTTTAGAGTTTGAGAACTTTCACAGTCGAAATATAACTGTAATTGCTGTAATGCGTTGTTACAACACTAAACGTTCCCTTCAAAGAGCAGATTACCAAGTTACAAAGTAAGTTATTATATTAAACATTATTATATTGAATGTCCCAAGATCCATATTAGGGCTATATTTTCATTAAGCCAACTGATATGCCACAACATATTGGCCAGCCTATGAGTTCTCTGGCTAAATGTTAAAGTTTGCACAATGTTCTGTGACATTTTGGTTCGCCTAAGAAAACTATTACCCTAAATAGATTTTTAATTTATTTCTTATGGATAAACAAAGCTACCTTCACTTGTTGTGGGACTTTGAGAATACTGAAACTTTAGGAGTGTTTGATGAAAAGTTTCCCACCGTCCTGGTTGTATGATTAGGACTCGGCTGAATGAACGGAAAGCAGTACAGCTATACACACAAAAAGTGTATAACTGTGGAGTCTTCCATACTAGACCCTTGTTTTGACTGTGGGGACCCTGCCAATTTTTCAGCTACTGCTTCAGATCAGAGGGATCAAGTGTGCAGCTAGCTGGTAGTGGGTCAGCATGCTTCTAAGAAATCCTCTAAATTGATTTAAGTATCTTGCCTGGCTTACTGTAGTATGAGTTTTTGCCAATAACAGTGTTACATCTCATAAAATAAGCTGCAGTCAAGCAAATCTTATGCAAAAGCTTTGAGCCATAGTACCTCTCAAAGGCGTTTGCTGTAGTTTCCACAGATATAAGGGAAGGGCTGTTGTTCAGTGACAGAGCATGTGTGGAAGATCCCAAATTCAATCCCGGGTATCCTCATGTAAGGCTGGGAAAGACTGCTGGTTGGAACATTGGGGAGTCATTCCCCAGTCAACAGTGTAGACACTATTAAGCTAGATGGGTCAATGTGTTTGACTCAGTACAGTGGTACCTCGGGTTAAATATTTAATTTGTTCTGGAGGTCCGTTCTTAACCTGAAACTGTTCTTAACCTGAAGCACCACTTTATCTAATGGGGCCTCCTGCTGCTGCCGCGCCACCGGAGCATGATTTCTGTTCTCATCCTGAAGCAAAGTTCTTAACCCGAGGTACTATTTCTGGGTTAGCGGAGTCTGTAACCTGAAGCGTATGTAACCTGAAGCGTATGTAACCCGAGGTACCACTGTATAAGGAAACTTCATATGTTCCTAACTACCAACCCATTTTGAATGCTAATTGAGACTTCAGAAGAATGTTATTGTTGTGACATGCTCTTGTGTTTTTTTTGGGGGGGGGTAGTCTGTATGCCTGAATCCCTTCTAATTCTTGAATTCAACAAGGATCTAAATGCTGGAATAGCCGGACAAGTTTATGGGTAATGGCCCTTGGTAATGGGTCCTAAAGGGACACAGGTGGCGCTGTGGTCTAAACCACAGAGCCTAGGACTTGCTGATCAGAAGGTTGGAGGTTCGAATCCCCATGACGGGGTGAGCTCCCGTTGCTAGGTCCCTGCTCCTGCCAACCTAGCAGTTCAAAAGCATGTCAAAGTGCAAGTAGATAAATAGGTACTGCTCTGGCAGGAAGGTAAACTGTGTTTCCGTGCGCTGCTCTGGTTCGCCAGAACCGGCTTAGTCATGCTGGCCACATGACCCGGAAGCTGTCTGCGGACAAATGCCGGCTCCCTCGGCCTATAGAGCGAGATGAGCGCGCAACCCCAGAGTCGTCCGCGACTGGACCTAATGATCAGGGATACCTTTACCTTTTTAACGGGTCCTAAAGGCAGCAAAGGAAATGGCTCTGTGCCAGATAGAAGATGGGTGAGGCCCCCTCCCTTAACTGTCTGTTAGTTAGAAAGACAAAAGTCAGAGTTGTGTGTGTGAGCTAGAAGCTAGAAGGAGGAAGCAGGCTGGGCAGCTGAGAGACAGAGCCATGCCTGATTTCTGCTGGGATCCAAGGCTGTGGCTATGGGGAAAGCATGACCCTCTTGGGGTATGAATGCTATGAGCTCCTCCAGCATAGGCTCAGGTTGTATATATGAGTAAATAAACCATATAGCATAAAGACACCAAAGTCTCTGCTATCCCTCATTCCAAGGAAACTGAACTCTGGGTAAGTGCCTGGAATGTTGCACTGCTTGGAGACTGGGGTGGTGGGCAACTTTAGATTAGAGGTATTGCCTCTTTGCTTTATTTCCTGGGGAAACTAGTCACTCCTTGGAGATTGCACAACAGTCCACTCGACCATGAAGGGCTTGCCAAAATGTACTTTGATGGAGGCCAATCATTCCCAAACACCCACCCACACCATATTCCAGTTAGTGGCATATCCTCACCAGGCATGGCCTAGTAACAATTTTTAATCTGGTGCATTCCATTGAGAGATTCTTTGCTGCTGCTTATTTTTCCAAGGTGAATTGAGAAATCAAATCCCCCGCTGTGCAAACTGCAATCAAACTCTCCTGGCTTAACAATGCTAGGCAAGGCCTTTGAAAGAGACCCACTTCCCAGGCTATCTAAATGAGCTCTTTCATTAATGAGTAATGCTGGGAGCCCCTCCCCCCCCCTTTCCAAGATCTAAGGCTGGCTGTGACCACTGACAGAGGTTCGGCTGACAACAAATGCCCAAATATTTTGTTTGACTTTCCGTGCAAGCAGAGCAACTACCAGGGGGAAGAAGAAGAAAAATAAGGAGGGGTGTGTGAAGGAGAATACAGTATAACTATGTGTGGGAGAAAAGTGTCTTCGAGCCAAAACACTACTTTTAGAAGATGAGATGGCCCTTAAGTACTTAGAGCTGGAACTGAGGTAGCACTTCAGCCAACAGGCTTGCTTGTCAAGCAATCATGTTGGAGTCCCAAAACTTTCTCAGGAGAAGAGACTCCAGATGATTCTAGGACTCGAATCAGAGTGAAAACAGCATCCTAGCTGCAGGTAAGAGTTCTGTTCAGAGCATCAGAGAATGGGAGATCCAAATGGATGTGCAATGCACATGTTTTTTAAAACGTGATCACACATTGTTGTTTAGTTGTGACCCCATGAACCAGAGCATGCCTTGGAAACTCACACTTTCTTCTCAAAGCTTCTCCTTTTTTATGTCCATGGAGTTTTCTTGGCAAAATACTGGAGTCGTTTGCCAGTTCGTTTTCCAGGTAGATCACATTTAGTCTAGTCACACATACATAGCTTTAAAAAAAGACCCACAATTGTGGGAAGTCATATTTTTTTTAAAGACATGCTCCTGCTAAGGAACTATTAGCCTTTCTTTGCTTCCCTAAAAGTCTCCTCGCAATGCCAGGAGCAGAGCCTCGACCCTCAATACACCCTAGTAACCATCTTTTAAAAAGTTCAGATTCCCACACCCAGTTTCAACACATTCAGGTTTTAAATAAAAAGTTTAGTTTATTAACCAGTTTGCTGTTACATAACACTAAAAGCAACTGTTAAAGGATTACAACTGTGAATGCCTAGCTTCTGTTACAAAGGTCTGTCCACCTGGGACAAAGTTTATACATGTTCCCATATTGTTACACAAAGAAACACAATTTACTGAACAAAGCCCTGTGGGGTACCTGCGCTAAGTCTGTTTTAGCACGAACAACAGGGAGCTATGTGGGAGACTCCAAGATGCCGCAGAACTGATTAAATAATTACTTATTAAATAACAAGTTATAAGGCAGTAATCCTATATACATTTAACAAGGATTTTCTGTATAGGCATGTTTAGGATTGCACTTTAAATACATGATTGCACTGCTCTTGTATAGAATTGGGTTGCAAATCATCATTTGCACCCTTACCAGTCCAGGGTAGTTTGATAATTAGTTATTCTATGTACTTCCATATTTTTTTTAAAAAAATAAAAGATTACAGTACAGTCTTGATTAAATTATGTATGCCCATTTATAGGATGGCTTTTATTATTTCATTCATCACAACATCCCAGAGGTGGCTATAAATATTTCATTGTATGAATAGCCAGCTAAGGGCGGAGAGAGGTTGACACTCATGGTTATCTAGCAAGTCCATTGATGAGATAGGATTTCGGACCAGATTTCTGTTTGGTGGACTGCAATGACATAGAAAGCCTACACCTCCAAACAATTTATTGGGGCAAAACACCTCTGGTTTTCTGTCACCTTGATCACATACTAGTCTTTAAGAAGGAGAAAGCAAGTTCCACTTCTCCTTTCCAGACCTTCATGCAGGCAAACTACACCACAAAGCAGATCTCACTATAAGCAAAACATTTCTGAATGTCTATTTTCATAGGAAAGAATAGTTAAAGAAGACACAGTTTTGCAACATCCATGAAACCATAATTTCACAAGCAGAACGGAAAGTGGATGCAGGAACAGGGCACAATTTAACCGGTTTTAACACTAACCTGTGCAAAAGGTTATCAGCTGATTTGGCTTCGCCCTCAGTGAGGGCAATTGCAGGGGAGAAGCAATCCAAAGAGCACAGACTCCCTTAGCAATTATCCCCAAATTCCACCTGGGAAGCAGCTCTTAGGCAAGGTGAAGAGAAGAGACGAGACGAGAAGGCTGCTCTGACAGCCCCCACAGGTTTCTAAATACCTAAGTGCCTCTGTGCTGACCTTTTACATCTCTCCTAAAGGTAGACTCTTCTTTGATTGCTTGGCATCAGAAGCTGGAGGGAGGGGTGAGATGGGAGGGGTGAGAGGCTGGGCTGGCTGAAGGGTGCGCTTGCAGTTGCATTCCCTCCTAATTGTCAGGGGAAAGGAAGTAAATGTAACATGCAGCATGGCAACTCAAAGGACCTGAAATAGAAGAGTCCGGGAAAGTGATTGAAATAATGTAGAAGCAGAAGAAGTGCAGGTGAACGGTAAAATGTGAAAGGTTGGGAAACAAAAAGGGAAGGTTTGGAAGCCCTTGCAGCATAACCCTGCATGTGCCTGCTCAGAAATGAGTCCAAATGAGTTAAATGAAATTTACCCCATTCCCATATAAGCATGTATATAGGCATTGCAGCATTAGCAAGAGCATTGGAGCATCACTCAAGCTTGTGAGAAGAAAAAGGGTTTATTTCAGTAAGGAATTTGTAGAGAGGTGGGCAGAAAGTGTCCTAGACAAAAATGAGAGGGGTGTCCTGGAGGAGGGAGCTCTAAAGCCTGGGTGCTGCGCTAAGGCCTCCCCAAAAGGCCTTGCCCTATGTTATCCACCCATCCAACCTGCCCCCCCCCCGGATGGTGGCAGGACATGGTGCAGCGTCTCTGCTGAGGATCTCACTGGTTGAACAAATTCAAGCGGGTGATGCTTAAATTCCCTGGTCCAATGACCAGCACTTACCACTGAGCACAGAAACAAACCAAACACAATGCTGTAACCAGGAATGGCCAAACTTGGCCCTCCAGATGTTTTGGGACTACATTTCCCATCATCTCTGACCACTGGTCCTGTTAGCTAGGGATGATGGGAGTTGTAGTCCCAAAACATCTGGAGGGCCAAGTTTGGCCTAAGGATCTAAAGATAAGAGCTCATGTACAGAAAGTGGGGGCTCCTTGTCAGGACAGGAGTCAGGAGTCTGATGAGTCATCATTTGTTTTTCTAGCCTACCCACCCCAAGGGCTCAATGCAGGTTACAATTTTAAAACGCACACCATACCAAATATCCAAAACTAATGTGTGCCTTCAAGTCTTGGCTTGGGAACTGCAGCCTAATTATGAGTTTGGTACATGAATTTGTGATATTCAGGACCTGCTCCCTTCTGTGCAGCTTCTTACTTTGCTAGCTCTTGCACCTCTTCAAGAAATCCTGTGCTGAATCCAAATCCTTAAAAACACACACACTAAAAAACAAACAAAACAGCCCTTCTTCTCTGGAAACCTGATGGAACCACTCTCCTCACTGGGCCTAGTTCTCTTCCAGTGTTTGACAAGTCAACACCCACAGGGTTTGTCTTCTGGAACAGGGATGAACCAAGCAAACAGCCTTGATGCAGAAGAAACTAGTTGAGAGGGGAGAGAGAGAGAGAAAGGGAAGGATAACTTTTCTTTCCCCCACCCGTCTCAAACTGAGGAACTGCCAGGGTCTACACACATGAAAGGCTGAGTTCTTTTCTCAGCTCTAAAATGGAGGGTGTGCATACCTTGTGATTAGAAAGGGATGATCGAGGAAACCACAATTTCCGCCTTCTCCCTGACCAGCTGCTGGATACAGAGCTGCAACCAACCACGCTCCTTGGTGGTAATCAATCCACCATATTAAATTGTATTTCTACCCAGCTCGTACTGATGACAAACACACCACATACTTGTATAAGGAGCTGGAACCCACCCATGCTGCCCACAAATAGCCCCTTTGAGAGGCAAGATGCCATGGGTGAGAGCCTGGAAAGAGGGACAAAGCAAGAAAAGCAGGGCTGCCTGCATGAAGCCACACTTTGGACGTGGCTCCCTGTCGCCTGAGTTCTCTGTTGGCAAGAGGGCAGAAGGCCACTGTACACCAGGCTGAGGAGGAGGACCACAGCAAGCCTTTCCCTGAGATTCTAGGGACTAACGAAGGGTAGTTAACATGGTGCCTCCAGAAGTTGTTCACTTTCATAATCCCTGACTACTGGGATTTGGAGTCTACAACACCTGCAGAACACCATATAAGTTTCCACTGGCCTATAGGGAAGTGTAATTCATAGTATCTGAAATCCTTATTTATTCTCCTCTACCGTTAGTGATAAATCACTGTTATTCCCGTTTTGAAAACAAGGAACTGAGGCTTAGAGGGAGTGGTTGGCTTGGTCAGGAGGGTGCAAAATTCCCCTACAGGTGAGTTAGAGCTTGCATTTGCAGCAATCTAAAGTGAATTCTCTTCTCCTTGCATCTCACCACATCAGTCCATTACTTTCTAGACATGATTGTGACACTCCCAGCTGCACCTCCTATTTGATCAAGACCTACCACTTAAGTGCCACAATTCAGCATCCATATCTATCTAGGCAACAGTAAGCAGCATCCCAGACCCTTGCTACTACCCTGCAGCCCCCTCGAACCCAATGCAAACCCCAGAGTCCATTCCAAACCTTGCAGAAACTCCTAGAGATGCATCTGCATGCAGCGACTCCTGCTTTCCGTCTGCAGTGAGAACCTATGCTGCTTAAGCTGGGTGTACTATAAATTGGGCAGATACCTGCTAGAGCCCAACCCTAGCTGCTAAGTGGATGCAAACTCCAGATAAGTACTCTTTTAAGTGATCAAGCCAGCATGACAACCTTTCATTTTTGAGGCTGGGCACTAGGATTTGACCTTAAAAAAATGCATGCAAGATTCTAAAGATGCTTATAACGAGTCCATTGCATGTATTTCTAACCCACAATAAGAAAGAACTGTGCTAGGAGAGAACCAAGAAAAGGAGAACTATCTGGCAAGAATTACAAAGAAAATTAGGAGAGAAGGACAAGGGTAAAATCCACTTATTTTGTTTAGGACATGTTCATGTTACTGGCTTAAAATGCAGCTAGGTCCCCCTCTTTTCTGAATTGAGATAAAAGCTGGTTTGCAGGGAGATACATCAAAATGCACTGTTTCCTAAGTAACATCATGATAGATAAAGGATAGATACGGATTGTGACTAATGTTGTGTGTACAATGCTTCGCAAACCCATGGTAGGAGCACACTGGATGCAGAGTAAACATGAGTGTGTACACAGCCCAAGTCTTGGTGGGTTACACAAGGGGTGGGCAGACTTCAAGCTTGCAGAATCTACTGGTTTCTCCAGGAACCCTGAAGCCCACCAATCTGGGTGCTTCCAGGCTGTCACTTTTTCATGGGAATGATTCATAGCCATGCTGCAACTTTAGATTTATGTGGTTAGTGGGTTAAAGGACTCTGTTGCCTTAGCGCAACATATCAACTTTAAAAAGGAATATAACTTATTAAGTTTTGTAAAATTGACAAGAAAATGCATTGGAAAGTGTGGGATGAACAAATGACTAACAGGAAGATGTATAAACACTCCATAAGCAAATCAGAATGAATGCAAGACAAATGCTCATTATCGTATAACTGTGCCTCCTGACAAACAAATCAGAAGGAACACTTGGTAAAGCTAGGATGTGGTTTCACCTGTGTCAGCTTGCACAAGCAAATCGGGATAAATATTCAGTAAACAGGTAATATGGAGGGGCACTCAGAGGCAAGTGCAAACTTAATACTTTGTGATCAGTACTGGAATCAAGCTCAAAGTGCCTTCAAACAAAAATCCACTCCTGATGTTCCCCCATTCTTACAGGAAACCTAATTTGAAGCACAACAGCTTTTTAATGGTTGCTATTGTTAGACAATTGAGAGTCAGAGAGACTTGCCGAAATCTGCCTCCTGCCCAGCCCTGGCTTAGTTCTGCTAGGCACTCAACTGTACAGGCTTTTCCTGGCAAGTCAGAAGTCATATCAAGAATAATACAGAGTGAGTGAGTGGAAGTAGAAAGTAGTGGGTGGGTTTTTACACAGCACCTGCAGTTACAACCACTAGGACAAGATAAGATTTTGCTTGACATCATCCATTACTAAGCTTCTATACCTTGATCTGTGTAAACTTTGGGGTTAGAGTTCAGCCAGTGTACTACATAAATGATGGCAACATAGGAAACTGCTTTATCCTGAGTCAGACCATTGGTCCACCCAGCTCAGTATCATCTACACTTACTGGTGGTAGCTGTCCAGGGTTTCAAACGCGGTTCTCTCCCAGTCCTATGTGGAGGTCCCAGGCATCTTCATTCAAGGGCAGGTGCTCTACCACTGATTTTTTTCTCAGCCAAAGTTTGCCATCTAAGTCAGCAGTTTTGGCTTTGGGCTGCCTGTTCTAGCTTGTTAGCCCACTCTCCTCCTGCAGCAAAACATTGCTTGGAGTCAATCTCAGGTTAAGTGCCAAGGTTTTCCATTTCACAATAAGATGCTCTCTTCTGTCATCACCAGATCTGTTTGAATCCTCACGTGGCTTGTCCTTGATGGGCCTGAAACTAGGCAACATCACAACCTATCAACAGTGTGTGTTTGTGTGAACATATGTACAATTATGTGTGTGGAAATGCCTATGGGTGTGTGTGCTTATGTGTTGTGGCGCTGTCTGTTCAGTTATTGAATCTGCATTATCCAGATGGCAGCCCAATACAGATTTCTGTGCTGGAAGGACCATTGTTGAAGCCCAGTTCTGATACTCTCAATGACACGTCCATATTAGCAGAGTGTACATCTGGATAAAGAATGCATTGCCTATTCAATTATAGCATGGTTTCAGGGTCCAAGACAAATAGGTTTAGAATATGAAACTTTAACACAGATACGGGATATTACAAACCATTTTTTTCTACAGAACACGAATGAAATAACTTACGGTACTCTCTTCTCCTGTTCAAATAATTTTCACTCCCTTTTGTAGATTAATGAACTAGTGATCAATTTTAGCCTGCCTTTGATATATTGTGGTGTTTTTTTCTACACTTTGTGACTATCTGTAATTGCTTATTGCTTTGCATTTTATATTAGAACTATTGCTTTACCCCAAACTGCCCCAAGCTACCAGCCTGTGTCCCGTACTTTCAAACTTTTTACATCAGAGGCTAACCTGAGGCCATCCACCTGTTGCTGGTTGTTGACCACTGGCTGCAGCCAATGCAAGTTGGAGTCTAACAACATTTGGAGAGCCACAGGTTTGTCACTTCTGATTTAAAGTAAACTGTTGAGTGAAATTATTTGGAGCTTTGGACAAAGGTGTCACTGAATGCAGACCACAAAGCTCTACTGCTTGTTTCCATCAATTAATTCCAGGGATGCAGTGGAAACGATGAGCATATACCTGGGAACAGTTCCAGGATGAATGAGAGGAAACAGGTGGGAACTTAATCCTGGTATGACCAAAGTAAAGTTGCTTGGGAAGATTGCGTCTTTGGATGGAGGTTTGCAACCTCTTTTAGAGAGGGCTGAAGAATCAGATGCATAATGGAGTACTCCCTGACTCAGTATTATCAGTGGAATTGCAGGCAACAACAGTCACTAGTGCTTTTTAGTAGTTTAGGTAAATTATATACATATACTGTACATACTTCAGCATGTGCAAAATCCCAGTTGCTGAATTACTTCTGGGGCCTAGCAGCAATTCTGCATCAGCTACAATGGCCACCCATTTGTACAGTGGTACCTCGGTTTAAGAACAGTCCTGTTTACGAATGATTCAGTTTACGAACTCCGCAAAACTAGAACTAGTGTGAACTTTACCTTGGTCTAAGAATGGAATCCGAATGGTGGAAGGGCACCGGCGGCAGGAGGCCTCATTAGGGAAAGCACGCATGGGTTTAAGAATGAATTTGGTTTAAGAACGGACTTCAGGAACGGATTAAGTTCATAAACCAAGGTACCACTATAACTCTAAAGTTTAAAG